TAGTTTGGAAATTTTTACCTGGTACTCAGAAAATTATGGGAAATAGTCTGGTCGACTCAGATTTTTGATAAAGTTACTTACATTTTTTCCCACAAATTGTACAACTAAAATACGATTCACTCATATACCATCCGAAAGAGTAAAGTCTTCGCTTTATTATGGGAAAAGCTATCGTGAAAAAGACAAAAAGAAGACAAAAACCACTATCAAATACATCGCTAGATAGGGCTCAAAAAGCTAAACGAGCCGAGCTGTTTTTTATTGTTACCTAGTCAGAATAAAATGGTGGAAACTTAATGCACTCACATTGTAAGACTCTGTAAAAAACCGAAACTATTAAATGTACAGAGGTACACAAACGTTTTTATTTGTTGCCTGAATTAAAGAATAGAAAATTCTTTGGAAAATGGCCGACTCTGATTTTTGAATATATTTCAGCAACTTATATTGCATCAATGTATCGAAATCATGTGTAGATCGCAGTGTTTTATCTAGATTTCGTTTTTCGGGTGGACAGTTGAAATTTTTGGAGGGGCTGTTGGCTAAAAAGCTTTCACCAAAACGAAATCACCTATTTATTTTCGAGAGGGTGAAGCGAAAATTCGGGTGGGCGCCACCCACCCGGCCAACACGCTAGATAAATCACTGGTAGATAATAGGCATGCACCGAGCCTGAGTACTAGATTGTTCCAATCTATTATCGAAGCCAAAATATAAGACCGGTGGCCATTGAGAAATGGGCGAGTACGAGTATACTCGAGTACAAAATTCCTAGTACTCGCACTCAGGACCTTTTTAAAGGGTATTTAAAAAAATACTCGAATAATGAATTTTCACTATTCGATAGCCAAGACTTACAAGCATGTTTTTGTAAGCAGAAAATAGTTGGAAATATTTTTCAAGACGATCGCTGGAAAATCATTATCCTAACCGGAAAATTCGACATAGCACTATATTGATTTCTTTTCACGAATATATAGACTAAAGTGTCCTCCACAAAACAGAACCTAAGCGAGAGCTTCATCTGCATGGTTACAGGTTCTCCTGGCAGTCCTAGGATTGCTCTTCATTTCAGTCAATGAATCTCAACAATGCATGGAACCATAAGTTTCGACTATGCTGAATCTCGTGGCAACATTTGTGTTTGAAAAAAGGTGTTAAAATGTAGCGAAAACCAAGTTATTCAAAAAATTAGGGTTTTCCGCCTGTTTTTACCTGTTATTAAAATATTCACAATTCACTCGAAAAACATTACAACGAGTTCAAAACTGCAGGATATCGTTAATTCTGTCCGCTAGACGTGATTTCTTATAAACAGAATATAAAACAACCCAAATACTGTACATCTTGAAGTTTTACTGTAGATCCTGAAGTTCTCGCCATAGCAGATGAAGCTCTTTTGTGGAGGACACTTTAGTCTATCTATTCATGAAAAGAAATCAATATCGTGGTATGTCGAATTTTCAGGTTAGAAAAACGTTTTTCCAGAGATCTTCTTGAAAACCGGTTTTGGGAAACTATTTTCTGCTTACAAAAAACGTGCTTGTAAGTCTTGGCTATCGAATAGTGAAAATCGAGAGTCTTCATCTATTTTGTTCAACAGTTGTTCAAAGAATAGCCACCGGTCTTCTATGTTAGCTTCCATAATAGATTGGGACAATCGATTATTCGAGTCCGAATATCTCGAGTAGGACTCGGACTCGATGCATGTCTAGTAGACACGAGTAATTCCTTTTCGTTTCTTTGTGCACGTGAGGAAGCGATAAACTTAACTTAAGTATTTAATATAGACTGCTGTTGGTGTAATTTAACATGAAAATCAGAAAACGTGGTAAGAAAACATTCTGAGTTTTCGATCAGATTTTTAGAAAACCTTCTAACAAACAGTGACTTTCTTCGTCTTTTTAGCATAGGATCATGGTTACAATACGAAACAGTACGTCTTCTGAAATTTCCGCGTCTGTTTGATAAGTTTTGACAGAGTTATGCATTTTTTATCGCCATTTTCAAATCGAATCAGTAAGAAACGTTAATTGTACTACACATGAAAGGCTTGAGAGAAACGAACTTTTACTCGTAAGCGCGAAAAAAGTCCGGCAATACTCCTTGAGGAATATTTTATTGCTGAAATTTCACTGTTAACAAACAAAATGAGTGTTGTCTTATTCTCTTTTAGATCTATTATGGCTGATACTATCCATAGTTATGTTATGCTGTGTCGTGAATTATCGTTTTCTGAAGAAAAGACACGCGATCCACAATCATCGTCGGAAGAGGCGAAATTCCTTTCAAGCCTTGCACTTATTTTAAATGGTAATCAACAATACACGCCTATGTATGTGCATGAAGCCGAGAAAACGATATTAGTTGCTCGAAATGAAAAAATCAGATCGACTGATAAACGATATTTCGATCGGTTTTTCCGTCAAATTCGGACATACGCAGGCACATGTTTCGACCGAGACAAAGCCACGACAACAGCCGGGATTACTGCTCAACTGAGATCGCTTATATTCGAATATAATTCCGAAAAAATCGTCAATCGTTTTGAAGCATCGACACAAAGTCAGTCGGAAGCAGTCGACAGGCAAAGCTTTTACACACAATATTTAGAAGGAATCGACAACATTGAACAAAATCATGTTCCTAATGTCTGTTTACACGCCGAAATATTGCTTATTGATTTTTTGTTAAAAAACAGCATTAATGAAATTAACAGATCAGCAGCTTTTATCAGCGACGGGTATTGCAGTTCTACTGTATGAATCCCGTTTGTTTCAGTATATGCTGAATAATTTTCCGGAAACAGCCAGCCGAGGCGTGTACTATTTTGAAAAGATATCAGCGCATTACCGATCGACCAATCTCCTGCTAAAATGCTTGATATCTCAAAAAGATCGTTATTTACAAATTTACAAAGTGGTTTCATGGAAAATCGTTGAACCTATTAAAGAAAAACGTTCCTTGATCATTACGCCAAGAAAAGCGTTTGAAAATATATGGAAAGATATGTTTGAATCAACATCAAGTCCGTCGACATTGAATTTATCGGAAGCAATCGACAGGCAAAGCTTTTACACACAACATTTAGAAGGAATCGACAACATTGAACAAAATCATGTTCCTAATGTCTGTTTACACGCCGAAATATTGCTTATTGATTTTTTATTAAAAAACAGCATTAATGAAACAATTAATACAAATGACGTTGAAATAGGAATTTCCAAAATGAGTTGTTTACCATGCTCGTATTACATCGAGGAATTGAATAAGAAATACAGTCGTTTTTTTTGCCTGTTAGGTTCGACTCATGGAAAAACATATCCTAAATGGACATATCGAAACAACGAGGATTCATCAATATTAAATGTTATCAACGAAAAGTTAATCGATAAAGTCAAACAATCGATAAAAAGAAGATGCTTACAGACTAATCGTGCAGGGCCAGTGAAAAGTGGTGATAGCGATATCATGCATACCTCACTTGGAGAGGATGAATTCGATTCGATAGATTTTGATATAATTCGTTATTAGTATTGTCATCAAATTATTTGTTATCATTATTGATGAAAGTTTATGCATATTTTCATATATATTCCAATCGTGATCCATACACTCACTGATGTTTAAAACATGTGTTTGTTTTTATTGTCCCACTTTCTGATTCTTTTTGTTGACTCTTGTTAATGAGATAAACGGCGAAGTTCGTCTAAAACATCGATATAAAAATTCTTGGTTCATATTACCGCAGGTTCTATGTGGTTCGAACTAAAGTCGAAAAAATGTTAATACGGTGAATTAACATTTATATTTACTTAAAACTAGTCTGTACCGTAAAACTTTTATGAAACAAAATAGTCCATTGCAAATATTCTTTAAAATTATTCCTTTGGCATAAAAGTGAATCTAGTCCGAACTTTGATATCGATCTCATAAAACATGAGTTACTACTCATTAGAAACTTTGCTGCAAATTAACAAATGATTAAAGCATTGTAATAAAACATAGGCATGCGCCAATACAATATATTGGGTAATATCGAAAACGCACTAAAATCGTCGAAAAATAATATAGCCGATTATTTTTGCGCAATTTTGCTCAGTTTTGGATGCTTATATTTCTGTCACAAATAACACTAAAATTTTGTTTTGGACTCCAGTTTGACAGAGCAAACATTTTTCGACAAAATGGCTAATCAAAAGCTAATCATACTAATTAATGATTTTTGCACGGGTGAATAGACCAATTATTGCTCTAGAAATGGTGAGAATCTTCAAGCTCTACTCATTAATTGGCTTGAGCTCTAATTAAAAAGGTAAACGCTGAGAAATTTTCAAATGTTTCCGATTACCCCATTTGGGGCAATTGGAACGACCATGTAAAATAGCTGGAAAGCTAGGAGTTTCTTGGAAATCAGTTTCTACTCGAAGAACACCTCTCACAAAAAAAGTTGCGCTGATAAAAAGATACAGAATATACTTCTCTACAATCCCAGAGGAACTCTCACTCGTTTTCATTCAGAACTAACGAAATAAGCATGTTACACGAGAAAGTTGGTAGGCTATCTGGAGAATCACTGAACGAAGCTTTATGAAACTTGGCGCTTAAGGGTTTTTCAATGTCCTCTTTCTTTTCTTCTCTAGAAAGTTTTCTCTAAAACTCTCAGAAGTAGGGTTTTCTAGAAAACCGTGATTTTTGGGTCACTTGTACTTCTTAAAACGATTTTTAAAGATCAGTCTTCAGGCATGAAACATTTTTAATGATGTATTTGAATTCAGCGTCGAAAGGCGAACATTTTGAGAAAAAAATCAAGTCTTCAACTCAAAATTTCAGTTTTTGAGTTTAGTTTGACAAATCAAAAATTCAAGCTTTTTTAAAATTGAAATAGCTCAGTTCAGGTAAGCCATGAAACCTTGGTTCAAAAAAAGGTTAAACTAATATTGGAATCTCGCCAAACCACTACGTTTGTTCCGATTTTAATTCCCTATCGGACCGCGTTTGAACCAAGATTCCATGGCTTACCTGAACTGAGTTATTTCAATTTTAAAAAGCTTGAATTTTTTAATGTCAAACTAAACTCAAAAACTGAAATTTTGAGTTGAAGACTTGATTTTTTTCTCAAAATGTTCGCCTTTCGACGCTGACTTTTGTGAAATGTGTCATACAAATATAAACTAAATTGTCGTTCGAAATAAGCAACGGGCAAAAAGGTCGTGTTGTGAACTCGATGGTATTTGGATTGATAACTCGAATTCTTCGGACCTCCGTTTCTCTAGTGTTTCTCTGCTGTTATATATGTTGAAATAAAATGGATGTTGTGCAATAACCGAAGAATTTCTTTTCTTTCCTCTGCGTGTTTCACATTAATTTGTCTCATTATCTCTGAGTTATTGCACAACATCCATTTTACTTCGACTATTCTAGCTTATTATTGATGCCACGAACTTTCATAATAAAAGGCCGAGATCCTCGTTATTTAAAAGATTATTTTGAAGCCGCTCTTAGAGAAATTTCCAATGGTAGTGATATCCGTGCTGTCGGCAGAAAATACAATATACCTTTTTCGACTTTACAACTTCATAACGTATCACAAGCCGTCCATCTTGGTACCGGACGTTCAACACATTTTACCGACATTGAAGAGACATATTTGGTCAATATTGTAGCTGTGTTACAAGTAAGTTAAATTAATTATTTTTGCTAAATATTTGAATTACAAACTTCTTTCGAATAGGGATGGGGCGAACCCATAACACCGAAAGAATTAGTTAAAATTGCTACATCTTATGCAAAAGAACTTGGAAAATATAAAACATTTAAAAATGGACAACCCACGATAGAATGGTATTATACATTTATGAAGCGTCATCCACAATTAACAACTGCGAAATCTATTCCTCTTGAGTTACGACGAGCAAAAATTACACAAACAATTGTTTAGAAATGGTTTGATTTACTAGGAAAGATTCTTATTAATAATGATTTATTAGATAAACCATCTCAAATATTTAATTGCGACGAATCTGGTTTTGCCGATGAAACGAAGAGAAGGAAAGTTATCGTCTCCAATCCAACGAAGTTTCCATATAAGAAGCAAGGTGGTACCGGTGGTAAATCATATTATTCTGTTTTATTCTGCGTTAGCGCAAGCGGTGTCATATTACCACCATACACAATTTATAAAGCAAAAAAATTATATGGCAATTGGTGCCTAAACGGTAAGTTTGTTGATTCATAAAATAATAGCAGATTTTTCCATTTCGTTCAGACCCTACTGGCGCCGGTTTTAATACGAGTGCCAATGGTTGGATGGAAGATAATGTATTTTATGAATGGTTTAAGAACATGTTTCTTCCTCTAACCTCAACAACACCAAAACTAATTTTGTTAATACTGGATGGACATACTTCTCATCGTCGTGTACGTACCACTGAATTAGCTATTACCAATGGTATTGTTTTGTTACGCATTCCACCACATTCAACTCACATTTTCCAACCTCACGACGTTACATTTTTTAAACCAATAAAACAAAAATACCGCGAAATTTTAGCTGAATATTATGCAGTATCTGGATATGAAAAGGTATCAAAAAGTACTTTTCCATCACTCTTATTAAAATTATTTCAATCAACGGCGATTAAGAATGTCAATATTATCAAAGGTTTTATTGAAACCGGAATTTATCCATTAGACAAATCAGCCATTCGTCCACAGAAAATATTAAAATGTAATCACACTTTGATCATCATTTTCTCTTTATTCTTAGTCACTATTCATATGGACTTATCTCGAGCATCAGAATCGACAATCGAAGTGGTCATAACATCAGTATCTCCATTGAGTCCTCGAGCGGCAATTTATAATGCTCTTTTATCCATGCGTCCACCTGTCATTGAACAGCCACCAACCAAGAAGCTGATTCTTGATCCTCAAGCAGGACAACTTTTAACATGTGAAGAAGCATTACGTCAGATGAGGGAGAAAGAAGAGGGAGCAGTCAAGAAGGCGAAACCAGTTCAGAAAAGGACATCAGTGAAACAAAAAAAGAATTCCAAAGCAAAGAAATTGTGCACAATTGAAGATGGTATGTTATTCTAGCTAATATCTGAGCAAATAATCAGTTACTTATTGTATTCAGATATAGATATTATAAATGAAGATCCATTAACAAAAAGATGTATGACCACCATTAATTCAACCAGCGCAACATCTGCTACTGTTTCATCAACGCCTTCGATAGTATCGATAGTATATTAGTAGTATACAGCAGACCTCTATTTTTACGAGGATTTTTTGTATAACGCCTATAATGCTGCCATGGTGAAATTACTTGTTAATTTTCTTTTCCTTGGGCTAGGATAATTATTCGTCAATGTATGAATAGGTAGCAAAGTGTATCACATATCACAGACCGCCAACGTATACTTTTGTAGTTGTCTGCAAAAGTGAAATTTATTCGCTTCTGTTCGGTATGTGTACATGAGCTCTCTTTCTTTGTTACATATTTGCTCAAATAAACACTTTTTTCTTTTTCAAAAAACGATCTTCAAATTTTGCAAAATACTGCAAAAAAACACGATATTGGAGTTTCATTCAAAAAGTTTTCATTAAAATTTTTAATGAAATTCTTGTGCCATCGAAAAATTTTCACGAAACTTCAGGTCACGGTCACTTTGCAGGAGACATTTTAATGAAAGTTCGATGAACAAAATTTAAGTTAAAGACCCGCAAAATAGGTATATTTAAGCGGGAAATACTTCGTATATGTATCGCTTAGCGATACGTATACGAGGTGAAACAGCTACTTTTGCTGAGCAACATATATATATATATATTAGATAGAGAAAATTTAAAAAGTAGATAGATTTCATTATTGTGTTCACGAAAAGAATCAGTGAAGGGAGATCCCCTCAAGCATACCCTCAAATTTTTATGGAATCAAATGGATTTGTCAAATCAAAATACATCGTAGTATACGATGTAGTTGTAACAGTTTTTAATGAAATTCTAGCGCCATCAAAATCATTTTAACGGAACACCTGATGAAATTTTTTTAATGAAAGCGTTGATACTTTCATTGGAAAAAAACGCTTTAATGAAAGTTTTTTAATGGAAGTCACCCAACTCAAAACACATTGAATACCTTGTTTCGCTGAGCATCCAGATGGAAAATAGTAGTCAATACCTAAAAGCACAATTTTACATATTCTTTCGTCAATTAACTCTTATCTATCTTAACAATCTTAATTACAAGTGTTACTCTTTTGAAAGGGTACCACTGTATAATTGGACTGATGGTAAACTAAGCTTTTCACAACATACGCAAAAACTAAAACCAAAATGTAAAAAATTTTACATTTTGGTTTTATGTCATCAGAATATGGGAATGGGATGAAATTGGTTTTATTTAGTAAAAACATTTGGAATACACCCCAAATTGATTCTACAGGATAGACAATGAAGCTTTCAGCGCTCTCCGGTATTATAGCGAACAAAGATTTTCCAAAATCTGGCAAACCCATTGTGGCTATTGGAGAAACGGGTCTTGATGATACTAGTACACAATAAACTAACGGATCATAAATGCTGTGAGTGTACACGGATCCAAAACAGTCCGTCTTAGTGACAGATTTATCATTATGACAGTAATTATTCGAAATTATTTCAGATTTAAAATATTTGGTATAATATCATGGCTCTCGCTGTATAGGAATGGTATCTTTCAGACTTAAGTCCTATAATAAACTAACTCTTATGGTATTTATCAAATCTTACTACTTATAAGAGAAAAAATTACAGTAGTTTTTCATTAGTAATTAAATTATGTTAAGAAATAAATTGTTTGTGTATAGACAATTTAATCTTGAGTATTTCTGAACTGTGTGATCATTCATCGAATGTTTAAGAAAAATACTATAATTATTGTTTTTGTTAAAAATTCATTAAGGATCAAAACAATGGTTCACTCGTGTAACCTATAGTCAAAGATGTATATTACACTACTGTTTCGTAATATACTAATACTTTAAGACCAGCTACTGTTACTTCCTGGCGCTTACAACCACCGAGAACGACAAGTATACTAGACGAAATGACCGCTGGAAATCACCGTAATTAGTGTTTCCGACCATATGAATAGGAAACTACCACCGAATCTTGTGGTTATAACCAGGTGTAAATCCTTGTTTACGGCCGGATCGGAACCACTTGGATATTTCTTTTCATTGAAAATTCTCGAAATTTTTATACTATTTCATGGTTGAGTTATGCAGGTTTTTAATGTGATATAGGTTTTTGGGAAAACTTTGTACATCGTAGTAATAAAAACTCTATCACTCAGCCTCTGAACAACAATGACATCTACTACACGATCACAACACCGACATCTGTGATGAACCTTACCAGCGGTACATTCTTCGGCGGTGATTGCGATATAATACGAAACAGCGATTTTTTCAAAAGATATTTTACCAATGTAGAAAGTATCTAAAATACATTATTAATAGTTTGCGAGGAGTTGCTATAACAATGTCTGGTGATTATGTCGACGAATAGTTTGAATATTTCTGGTATGTAAAATAATTCAGTTGTTTTGGACACTTTACATAAGACAATGACTGATCAACAGCAACAACAAAATGCCACGTTGCTAGATGGTTCGTTCGAAGATAGTTCTGAAAAACAGATATTTCCCACATTACCAGCGAATGTCTCAGCAATAGTTGAACACGAATTAAATTCTCCGTGTTCATTTACATTAGCCGATATTCAAGCATTTCCAACATTAGCTTATTTTAATCATACAGTTATACCTATTATTATCGAAGGTTTAACACAAGTTGCCAAAGAACGTCCACCAAAACCAATTGAATATTTGGCATGCTTTCTTATTAAAAACAAAGAACGGTTTGGAGAAATTTGATTTCATTAACATGTTTTATGTGAGTTTCTATTGATAAATTTGGATGTGCCTCGAAAAAGCGAATCATTTCGAGATGGATGAACGGTACTTTTTGTGAACAAGTGTTAAAACTTTTATTTTTATATTATTTTCTAACAAATAAGACAAGATTTTTTGGAGATGAAAATTTATAAATCAACTATATAACTTTTTAATCTTGACCAAGTTTTCCGAATTATACGATTTATTTCGATATTGATCGTACTGATTACCGACAGAATCGTCGAGTTCGCGTTCTTGTACACAGCCATGATTGCTCTGATAAATAAAACTGTTAATCAGTACTGCGACAGAAGTAGTAAATCGGGCAAGTTATGACCATTCGAAAGATACCATTAGGAAAGGATTGTAGCAAGAGAACGTTATTCTAATCCGATGTCAAAAATTAAAAGGACATTTCTTATGAAAAAGCTAAAGATTCTTCATCCATCGTAAAGCAAAACTTACGAACTATCATAACCGACGTATCATCTGGATGCCTTTAAATCCTTAAAGGATGTCTGTAAATATTTCGCATATATGTTAAAGTAACAGTGAGCTGCGTTTGTGGTTAAATCATAGTTTTGACACTAACAACGATTTCTGTACATGTCCACAGCAGCAGGAACATCCTGATGGGTTAACTTACTAATCGGAAAAAAACGTAGACTATGGCTTGGATATTATTCTTTGGTAAAGTTCATTAGATCATTCATTGTGAACCACATGCCTTTGGTATAACACACTGTACAAAATAGAGTGTAAGAATTCCCACATTTCTATTCCCACGCGATTTCGGATTCATTTTCCACAGAATGTGCTTTCCTACAGTACTTCCTACACTTTATGGTTTGGCTACATATTTTTGAGAATATCAATGTCTTTTCTTTCAAAATTGTTCATCACTCTTTGAAAGCGCAGACATGAATCAATAAGATACATTCAATGATACGCATAAATTGATTGATTAGCATTTAAAATAGAATAAATGTATAATCATATTCTGAACGAACAACTGTATAATTGGTTCTTGATAATAAAATTTTCCTACCACATTTTTGATTACGAAAATGTCAATCAATATTGTTTTTATTTGATGTTCTTTTTAGCATATGTTGATAATCATTGTAATTTAAAAAGTTGCTGATCGTGTTCAGTGCACGTAAACGGAAGCAAGTTTCAAAAACTTTTATGCAAATCAGCAACATCTCTACTTTTTTTCACATATGATTTAACCCTTTACTCGCCAAGGGATCATCCATGACCGATTCATAGAATTGTTATAAAAAGATAATGAAGCATATGATAAAAAATGGATTGCTTATGAGAGCAAGTTAAATCCATAAGCTATCGATTGATAAAAGGAGATTTTGTTTTCAATCACTTTTTGGTGCTCCATTACCTTTTTATAATAATTCTACGAAAGGGTTGTGGATGATTCCTTGGTAGATAATGGGTTAAAATAAGCTGGATAGACTCGCCCGTCTTAAAGTAAGACGGGAGAAAGAAGGAAGATACATATCGTAAAATGGTAATTTTTTAGAATAATCCAATGGCAAGAATTACAATCCAAATAGATAAACAAAACTGATACTGACGTGATTGTTGTCATAATTGTTGATGATTGACAGATTCATTCCAAAAATGCCCATCATCAGCTGTTTGACTTTTACGAATAATTTCAATTACCGTCCGAGATTCATCCGATGTACAATAACCATGATAAAATATTCTATCATCTTCATAATGAATGCCTAAACCATTAAGTATCTATTCAAATTTTCTCTCGTCTAGTACTCTACTCTCATCTTTGTAATGTTAAGTCTTTTCTCTGATTCGCAGTCGAATTTTCTAAGGTCTAGTCTTCCCTATCGCAATGAAACTTGTAGTAATATCGAATGATATTTAGCTTCGTTTATAACGGATGTATTGACAGCCCGTGCATATGCCTGCACTGTCTGCTCATAATTTTACAATTTTGATTATGCATAAGTCGAATTGAAATATGAAATAGTTTATGACCATACAGAAGACCTATCTTCTGAGAACTATAATAGTGTTAATATATCTATCTGAATCGCTCTTTCCTCCGTCATGGACGGATATGTCATTGCTACAAGCTGAATATCTCGCTGTAGTTTCATCATAACCAATTGTTTGTAAGAAATCCGAATATTTTTTTATCGTTTCAACCAGTCTTTGCTATACAAAGTGGAAGATAGCTGGCTTTTGCAGCGACCGCCAGTCATTAGAAATACTGCCTTACATTGTGAAGACGTTGAAAATCCACTGTTCCATTTTAGCTCCAGCGAGCCAGGATCAATGCGAACTGACGTAGATAGTCTCTCCTTGGAACTAAAAGGAAACAACCCAGAAAATCTGTAGTTTGAAGCGGGAAAAATCTGACGGCCAAAACGTTGAAGTAACGTTTGTCCTGATGTCACGATAAAGACGTTTCATTCAACGTTAAAGAAGTTTCCGGTTAAACTTATAAGGGCCATTAGCGCAAAATCGACTTTTTATACGGAGAACAGAATCGGTTCGAATTTTTTTCTGAAGAGCTTATTATATGAATCGACGGTCAGCAAATATCTCTTGATTCAAATCACTTTTCGAATTTTGGCGCCACTTAAAACGCGCTACTATTCGCGCCAAAATTCGAAAAGTGATTTGAATCAAGAGATATTTGCTGACCGTCGATTCATATAATAAGCTCTTCAGAAAAAAAATTCGAACCGATTCTGTTCTCCGTATAAAAAGTCGATTTTGCGCTAAAGAACGGTTAAAACGTGCGGTTTTCTTACGAGCGACCGACGTATATGCAAAATACGCTTATTCACCAAAGTTTTATCCAATGACGTTTGTGCTTTTTTGGAGACAACCATTTTGTGGAGCTGTTATTTATGTTAGAGCTAAAAGGAAGCAATGAAGAAAAAAGGTCCAAATGTCGAACTCTGCTCTGCAATCAACGTAAAAATGCGTTGATTGTAAATGTTGCGTAACTTATCTCTAGTAAAAAAATTGATATACGTACGGAAGAAAGAATAGTCAGGGATACGTTATCATATATTGATATGATTAGACGGAAAAAATGTGCTTATTTCGTGTAATTGCAGCTTCGTTTTTAAACAATTCAAATTCATGTACTGGGTGTAAAGTCTTAAATTGAGGCTGTAAGAAAAAAGAATTTCATTTCATGGTGGACACGTCGCACTAATCGAGTTCTCTCTGATCCTAACAGTGTACTTAATTTATTGTGAATTGTTCCTGTCGAACAGAAAACGCGAGGAGTAGCGTGTGCCGTTATACTTCTCTTAACCTTGCTGAGTTCCGTAAAGCAAGAAATCTTGTTCCTTCCCTCAATCGACGTGAAAAATCTTTTTACTTCCGATCTCTCTCTTCTTTATTTTCTGATCCTCGCAAGTTTTGGAGCTCTATCAAGAAACTATCCTCTTCTCACTCCACTGTACCTCAGTCTCTGTTTCTAGGCTCCAAATCTGTTTCCCCAGATGCGGATAAAGCTGAACTCTTCAATTCTCATTTTTCCTCTTGTTATTCTTCTCTTCAGGGGCAAATTCCTCCTTCTACCACTCCAGACTTGCCAATGATGGATAAACACCTCGACTTTTCCTTTTGCGTTTACTTCAGAAATTGGATAAAAAGTCTACTGTTGGTATTGATGGAATTCTTTCTCTCTTCTTGCGCTGACATTCTCTCACCTCACCTTCGCTTCATTTTTCATCTGTGTGTTTCTACTAGCAATTTTCCAACTTTATGGAAACTGCATTCATTGTACCTGTTCATAAAAAAGGAGCTCTTACCGATATCTCTAACTATCATCCTATTTCACTTCTTCCTGTTGTTTCTATAGTGTTTCAACGTCTAACTTATAATTTTATTTTTTCTCATCTTTCGAAACACTCTTTTTGTAAACAAATAGTTCGGTTTTCGTCCTAAACATTCTACTCTGGATGCTTTGTTGCTTTTATCTTCAACCGTCTTTAAATTTTGGAATGCTGGTGTAAAGTATGTTGGCGTGTCTTTTGATTTTTCTAAAGCATTTGACTCTGTTCCTCATTCTCTCTTGTTAGAAAAATTATCTCGTTGTGGTGTGCGTGATTCTTTGTTGTCTCTTCTATCTTCTTATCTTTCGAACCGTTCTC